TCAATCAACATCTCTAGAAAAAGGCTAAAATACTAATTTAGTCCCTTATAATATTTTAAAGTTTCAATTTAGTCTCACTTTAATTTTTTGTTTCAATTTGGTCCCCAATAATTTAAATCACTGCAATGTTGGACCTTCCGTCCGAATTTCTTAAACGAAGTTAACTTTTGACCACGTGGATGCCACGTAGATGCATAGGTGGCAAGGTTCCATGTCGTCCTCCTCCTCCTTCTTTAATTCATCTGTCAATTGTGACACTGAAATCAAATTGCAATTCAACTTCAGGACATATAGGACATTTTCGAGTTTCAGCCCTCCATCAAGGAAAACTGATCCTTCTTTGTTTGCCAGCACCAATTCACCATTTGGCAATCCCACAGGGCACCTGTCTAAGGCTCGGCTCTCCCACAAGTTTTCTAGCGTTCCTGTCATATGGTTAGAGGTAACTGTCAACAATCCACAAGTCACATGTTTTCTTACTAGTCATCTTTTCAGTTTCATTTGCCTTGTGAGAATTCAACATGGCTGCCAAGATTTGCCACTGCTCATTACTCAGTCCTGCTACTTCCGATTTTCTGGTTTCTGACCTTGAGTCATTGCTACTTGCACCAGTATGTGCCACATTGACACGAGTTGCTCCTCCTTTCCCTCGGAAGGACCCTGTCCTTGGTTGATTTCTTCCAATACTTTTATTTTCATTATGTGGCCTCTCTCCCCACCAATTTGGATAACCAATGACCTCGAAGCAACTGTCCTTGTCATGTCATGTCCTTCCACAATGCACGCACACAATTGATTTTTCTTTTGCTTCATTACGCAGCTTGTTCTTAGTCTCCGCTCGCACAGCCAGTCCCACGATCGTTCCTCGCTCTTCTTTAGACTTGGTGATCGTTCTCACCCTTTCTTCTTGCACCATGGTGGCATATACCCAATTCAATGAGGACAATGGATCTGTTGCCAAAACATTTGATCGTGTTGTTCCATAGCTCTCGTCATCCAACCCCATCAAGAATTGATGAATATTTTCTTCTTCTCTCCGTTTCTCAAGTTTGGTTGCAATATTACACTTGCATCCCCCACATTTACATTGTGGAATTTGCTCGTAATTTGCTAGTTCGTCCCACATCATTTTTAACTTCCCATAATAGGAAACCATAGTCATTCCTTGTTGTTTGTACCAATTCTGACTTTAGCTACTGGATTCTTGGTCCATTCACGATCGAGAATCGTTCCTTGATGTCATCCCACAGGTCTTTTGCGTTTTCCATGTAGGCAACAGTGGAACGCAAACTAGGTTCTATGGTGTTTAGTATCCAAGACACAAGCATCGATTGAATTATCCACCAATCTTCCATCTCGGATGTGTCTTTTTCAGGTTCCTCATGAGTTCCATCTATGAAACCCCATTTTCTTCGAGCCCGCAAAGAGATCTTCACCGCCCTGGCCCATTCCTCATAGTTTTCTCCTTTTAATTGTACTTGTAATCATGTTTTCGGGATTATCACTAGCACTCAAATCGTAGGGCGATGGCATTTTCTTCACCGCCTCGGTTTCAATCTTCTCTCATTTCTCTGCCATTTCAGCAGTCCAATTGCGTTCTCGGGCTGTTGGATATTAGAGCTAAGTTATGCTCTGATACCATGCCAAAATATATTCGAAACTGCAGCCGTATATTGATCATGATATGCTAATATATACATGAAACATGAAGAAATCCTAGGCTAGAATTACGCCAACTAATATGGCTGGGATCCTAATTTTTTCCCCTGACAGATATCAAATTTATATACATTGTTTTCATGTTAAGATAAATATGGAAATTAAAATCATGGTATGATACGGTAGTTGCAATCATATATTTTATTTTATTCTTATCATACACCATTTTCAAGCTTGAGTGTCAAAAGTGTGAAGAGTCTAAATTCTCAGTTGGTTGGTGGTTAAAATGGTACGTAACCTTCCAAGCTTGGGTGTCAAAAGCATGGGAAGCCTAAATTCTCAAGTTGCATAGTCAAGGGAAGAGTTAAAAACGAGAAGAGTTTAACTGCTTAGGCTACTTAGTCAAGCAATGGTCAAAATGGTACACATATCTTCGTCATCAACTTTTCTATTAGCAACATGCAATCATTGCCATAATGAGATTATATTGTCCCATGAATGAGTTACACCCTTTACCTCACAATAGAATATGTACAAATTAGGATTGTTTCTAGCACTCGCCCTCTTTGTAAACACAACGGGAACACAACTTTCTTCTTATTGGCTCCCCATCTCTCCTTTTCTTTTGGGAGTACTCAAACTAGTATTTAAAGACAGGTACGTGTTCAAGGAATCTTGTTACTTTTCAACAAGAGTGAATGAAGACCAATTTTTATTACTTTTAAGAACTTTAATTTAATACTATGACAATTCAGCTTCACCTACGCCATAGATGAAGCTTTGTCTACCAATGTTTTGAATGAATTAGGACAATAACATCGAATCAAACTTCGTGTTTCACTAAAGCTTTTGTTGGCACTCAAATCGGGCGACAAAGTTTCAATGTAGAAATAATGTAACACATAATTTGCAATAACATGAATTGATTCACATAATCTACATACAATATATAATTATTGTTATGTTAATAATACTATAGTTGAATTTTTTGTATTCCTTTTTTTTGTGATTATATCGTATGTTGTTCTTATTAAATAATTTAAGGTTTTTTTAGGAGTAAAATTAACATAAAATTTTACTTACTAATAGTGTTACTAGTTATGGTGACAATAATAATAATGACAATAATGATGGTCATTGTTACTATCACGTGAGAATAATCGCAATAAGAATATGAATATCAATTTATTTAGGCTCACATTGACTTTAATAAAAAAAAAACTCAATGTGCTAATTATATTAGCATCAAGTATAGTAACTCATGGTATGTGAGATCAACCTTTCAAAAGAAGGAAAAATTAGAGAATATGCATGCGTCTGTGTGTTGTGTCTCTTTGTTTCACAAAGAGAAGAAGAATTTCGTGAAGAAGAGTGGAGCAACCAACAAATTTTGGAGAAGTATTTGGTATCAATTTCTGTATATTTTGGTTCCCTCTATTGTTTGATTTGATACCCATTTGTGAGTTTTTCTTGTATTATTATTCACCTTATTGATGAGGAGTTATTTCTACTGATCCTTGGTGGTTCCAAGAGAATTTATGATGTACCCATTGATTATTATTAGTGGAGTTTTACTGGATTAGGTCTCATGAATTTTTACTTCACATTAACTATTTTTCCACGTTAAAATTTAGTGTTTGTTGATTTCTATTTTTTTCTGTTTTGTGCATCTTGCTGAAATTATCTTGTTACTTCTAGAACATGTTATTACTTATATAGGAAAAAGGAGATTGAATTTTCTTTCTGCTTAATTGTTATTATTTGTTAAATAATGACAATAGTAGTTATGATGATGATAGTAAGGATGATATTAACTTTTACATAAAAGAGTTTTAGTTAAAAATGTGATTTTAATTAAAAATTAAAATCAATTCATTAACTTTAATATTAAAAAGGCTCAAATGCTTTTTGGTATCTCAAGTGCAATAGTTGTGCAATTTTAGTCATCAAATTTAATTGAATAATTTTAATTCTCAAATATTACAATTGTATAATTGTAGTCCCTCAATTTTTAATTGAGTAATTTTAGTTTCTAAAGTACTGTAATTGTGATTTTATTTTCTAGTATCACAATAATACACATTTTTATCATTTTAAGTTAAATATATTAATAATTTTAATAATAATAAATATATCATTTAACACATAAATGAAAATTAATTATATGTAACTTAAATAGGTCAAAAATCATATATTTACGATATTCAATGGACTAAAATTGCTTCATTAAAATTTAGGAAATCAAAATCATACAATTACGATAACTAAATAACTAAAATTGTTCAACTAAAATCTTAAAGGCCAAAATCATACAATTACAATACTAGAAAGATAAAAATGTAACTGGGTAAAAAAAAATACTTTAACCTTATCATAATAACACATTGTTTTATTTGAATGCACTTCTTATATCCCTTAAGGTCCATTTGATTCAAAAACAGGGGATAGGAAGAAAGGAGGAAAAGAGTTGGAAATTTTATTTAATTTAGAAGAGTGGTGATAGGTCTTTTCTTATTTAGTTCACAAAGGAGAAGAAGGATTTTAAAAACTAATTTATTTTTGTATACTTATAATTTAATTTAACAACATAAATAAAAATATTTTGAATATTATATTAAAAATATTTTAAAATTCTTCCACATCCAAATCCCCTCAATAAAATTAGGTTAGGAGGGGTTTTAATCTCCTCTTCTCCCATCCTAAAAATTGAACCAAACATTTTTTTTTTATCCTTCCCTCAACTTTCCTCTAATCAAACACTATGTTAATTTCTATAACTAAACGAAGTATTTAAATAATCTGATACGTTATCTTCACAAAATTGCTAATGCAATCATATGGGGAAGATCTCCTTTTCCTTATGCCAAACCACATACTTGTTACATTGTGACACTGTTTGTTGCATTTATATATTTTCATACTCCTCATATATGTGATATTTTTCTTCATAGCAAAATCCACATCTGAAGTGAGAGAAAAAAATGGAACTAACAAGAAAAAGTGACCATTTTTATTGTCGTTTGTAAACCATCACCACTTCAAGAATAAATGGGTTCCAGCAAGTTTATTTTGTCAAAAAGTATAGACAAGTAGGAGGCCGAATGAATAAGGTTATATCTTTATATTATTTCATGAATATAAATAAATAAATTTAACATATATTTTTTTAGTTTCTCCCATATACTGATATACCATTCATTACCTTCCACAAATAAGAATATTTTTAAGATGTGATCAAATACTTAATGTGAATGCTTTAAATTATGATTTGTCACTTTATAGGCAACTATTTTTTTATTTTAATTTAATAGTTACAAATATCGTTACACTTAGAAATACTATATTCAAAATAAATTTACTGAAAACATTTATTATATAAAGTTACTCTTGCTTATGATTTAAGATTACACTTTTATCCTCTATAAAGTATACTCTCTTATTTTTATTTTGGAGGAGCTAAATCCCACATAAATATATCTTCAGTTGAATGTAATATGCTATCTACTGGCTACTAATATGCATACAACATTGCAGAATCAAAAATATATGTGAAAAAAGATTAGTAAAAGGAAGTGATCCACATTGCCTCTACCAAAAAATTTGCCTCATTGATAGAAGAAAGGAAGGATCATAAATTTGAGGAGTCCCAGCTAGCATAAACAGCAGCAATGAATTTTTCATGCAATGTGACACCAGAGCATGCAATTATGCCTCTGTCAAGGCCTTCCAAATACATTCCCTTTGAAAAGTCCAGGGGGCGTCCCCCAGCATCAGTCACCACACCACCAGCCTCTTCAACAATCACCACACCAGCAGCATGGTCCCATATCTTCTCCTTGTAACCACACTTGGCAAATTTCATGAATATCTCAGCATCGCCACGGGCGATTGCTGCATATTTCACCATGCTGTGCACGCGCAATGGCTGTTTTCTGTGCCGGAGTTTGAAAGGGAGGAGCAGTTCAATCCCAACAATGGTGTTTGAAAGGGAAAATGAAAATATGTCATAAGCTTAGATTCATTTCATAAAGAAATTGCAAACAAGGAACTTGGATAGTTGTGTTGAACCTTTTACTATGGCACTAGTTGACAATGAATGCATGAAATGTGAGGACTACAACAGGCTACAAGTGACTAGTTTATAACTACAATAGTGACATACAAATGCCCGGGTATCGTGCTAGTGCATTAAAGAATTGAACCTGCCATTTGTTTTTAGCTTTAAAGTTAAAGTTTGAAATAAAAGCTTAAAAGATAAATTAGTAGTTATTTGGAAACTTTAGCTTAAAAACTTTGTTTGTGTCCCACTTCGAGAGTAGTTCTGATCTGGATGAGAGGGAGAGGGAGGCTCGAGTGTGCAACTTAGTTACTATTATTTTTTATTAGAATTAGAGTTTTATTTGGATAATAATACATGCTAACATTTAATGGAATTCATTATTACACATTATTGAGATTAAACTCTAATTCTGATTGGAAAACACCATCAACAACACTTATAATACTGTATGCAAGTTTTATCCTTTCTTAAATGCTACTTGTCCCCTCCCAAGGACGGAGCCAAGGGGGGACCTACGGGTGCCACGGCCCCCCCAACAATTTTAATTTTTTTTTATATACATATATATTACTATATGGCACCCCCTATTTTTAATATAAACTCATATTTTTAATATAAACTCATATGTATATTACTATATGGCACCCCCTATATGGCACCCCCAGTATTGAAATCCTGGCTCCGTCCCTGTCCCTCCCCCCCTTTTTTTTAAAGGGCTTTTTCTCCAAGTATGTGTGGCCTAATTTATCGTTTTAAGGAGAAGAAAAACTAAAAATAAAATGAGCTAAACACTACGTAAATCTCTCTATATGTTAACTTATCATCATCATCAATTTACAAATTCAGTAATAAATTTCCAATGTTTGCATAAAAAAAATTATGTATAAATGACCAATCAATTTCTATGATCAATGGATATGCAAGTTGTCCAAGAACTCTGTTCTTATAATTCGCATTAAAGTACCAAGAATTACAATGTATGGATTTTTTTTATATTATTTTGGCTATTTCTAATACCATATATAAAATGACAAATTTTTTACTTGTAGTGACTAGTGACCCTATTGTTAGTCTAGAAATGGTTTTTGCCGTGGTAGTTAAATCCTAAACATTTTAACACCATTCTTACATTCTAATGAATTTATATGGAACTACTTTCAGTTTCAGTCAATTTGTGAATGAAATAGATCCAAGTTTTGTACCTAAGTCCAACACTGTGAGCAAGTCCAGCTGTGAATGAATGGTTTGAGTTAGCCCTTTCCACTGGTTCACAGAGAGTTGCCAATGCCGGATCATCAATAGAAGAAACACGAATAAGTCTAGCACGATTTGGCCATTCAAGCATTTTCTCTCCATCAACTAATGACTGCAACCATGCCTCACCACTGCCTCTTCTTGCATACAATACACATCCTTTTCCCCCAGCATCAGGAGTTACTAGAGATGATTGTGGCATTGTTTGATGATCCTGGTAATGATAATTAAGCCATTCTGTCTTTACTGGGTAATTAGGACACCCCAGAACTCCAAGAACAACTTTTCCATCCTCAATCAGAGCTAGAGCAACAGCATACTGATCCCCACGTACAAATCCTAATGTGCCATCAACAGGGTCCAGTACCCAATATCTTCCCCTAGGGCCTCCAGTCGAGTTGCAACGGGCAATGGCCTCAAGAACTTCAGATGTCCCTAGAGTTGTCTCCGGACTTTGAAGACCATACTTGGATGCTGAAGCTAAAGACTCGTTGACAGTATTAACAACAGCCTCCAGTAGGCCTGCTGATCCGTCATTGGAAATTGTTTCTATGTCTTCTTCAGCAACGATTGACACGTTTTGAACCCCAAAAATTTCAGAGAGTAACCAACTAATAATTGCTTGAACACTGAAGTCTTCTCATGCAAAGATGTGAAATGAAATAACCAGTCAATTAACTGTGAGCAACATATGCGCCAGAAACAAAAAATTTGAGAACTACACTGCACATAAATCTGCAAGGAGAAAATGGAACATACTACTAATAGTAAAGTATTCCATTTCCAATATAAGGCTGATTTGTTTTAGGTATATGGGAATATAAACAAGCTAGTTTGGTCTGACGGCAAATTGTGAAAACTAATAATTTCTACAATAGAATGAAAAGGAGAAAAGAGGTGTTAGCTCTACTTTGTAGAAGCAAAAATGTGTAATACATGGGAGCCTGGATCTTTGGACTGTCACTATTCACTAATAACCAAAAAATAAATTCTACCCTTATGAAGTCCCATGAAACAGGTTTAACAATTTATGGGTAGTAACAACTTGAAAATGACAAGTTACCTTTATATTTACCTAAAATAAAATAAAAACAATGAAACATTCCAGCTGCAATGTAAATATGATTTACACCAACTAGAAACTAAGCATCAAAAAGATATGTACACTACCATGAACAATGTTACACAATAAAATGAAGGGAAAGATACATCATGTCTGCAGTACTTCCAAAGAATAAATTGTGAACCATAGTCATCTTAATGAATTTTCCTCTGTAATAATCGATACCTTAACTAACAGTATAACAAACCCAACAATTTATAATTGGTTAGACCTACTGTGCAATCAGTTCATTGGATTAAACCAGTACAACTATCTGTGACAGTTTTTGGACTGTTGGGTTGAATTTCTTTCAAACATAAAAAGTTTATCTGAAATTTCAATATATCCCAACCATGTAGATACTGCCAACTACTAGTTGCACAACTCCAACAACTAATTGCATCATAGATTCAATGGTTTGTTTCAACACAGAAAGCATCCATGACGAGATTGTTTCAATATAGTGAATATTCCAGTCCAGCTGGATGATTATGGACGAACTACGATATTTCTTTCTTCTGCATTCGAATTTTAGAGTGCACCAAGCAACAGGGTAAGTGGATAATCACTCCAGAAACTTTTCAAATAGACCAGAATGCTTCTGTCAATATAGAAACAGCAAAAGCATTTCTGACAATTTATGGTTATGAATCTGAAGTCAGGAAATCTATTCCTGCAGATTCGGTGCAATTGTAAACTTAAATTAGTTATGTACAAAAACATTCACATAATTTCAACCCCAATCTAGATGAATAACTACGGTGCATTAGTGCACACATTAGATTTATATCTCATAATACAAATGATGCCACTGCTTAAAATTCTTTGTTTGAAATAGCTTATTAATGGAAAATCATTTATGAGTATTCACCTAAAAGAATTTTTTTAGATAACTAGTTCTTGGCATAGCATCATAGCCTCTAATGTAATTAGGAGTTTGATCAAGGTTATCAATAATGGATAACAGCCACGCTGAGCCAAAAATCCACCATAAACATGTGGTGGATGGTGTGGCAGCCTATGGTGGATGCCATGATGAAGAACTTAATATATATATACATATATTAAAATAAAAGCAGAAAAAATAAATTAAAAACAGAGTTTAAGGATGCATGACTTTGATTGATTTTGGATGCTTGACATTGTCCTATGAGTGAAAAATAATTGGGAACATTATTATAGGTTTAGTAAAGAAAACAACAGAACAATAGAGCAGAGAAAATAATTCTGATATTCTAAAAAATACAGAACTAAATTCCAAAATTTTGAAAAAAAAACAGAGCACAAAAATATTGATCAAATAAAGAACAAGAACATTCACACAGAAAAAAAAAAAAAGAGGAACATCTGAAGAAATGAAGAACCAACAGGAAAAAAAATGGAAGAAAAAAAAAACTGTTATGGGTTCATGGGTTTGTTTGATGGAAAGCTTGTTGGACCTCAGGTTGCCATGGCTCAGGTTGCTGGCGAGGGTGGTGGCCTGAGAAGGCTTGCTGGAGTTGTTTGGCCACAGCTTAGGAGGCTCACAAGAGAGAACACAAGAGAAATCTAGGTTTCCCTATGTGTCGACACTGGCAAATCGACTAATAGAGAAAGTACGAATACAAAATGTTTGAAGCCTAGCCATGGCGGGCGCCATGCCGGATATGCCGGACAGCGCCATACAACAAGAAATAACAGATGGCGAATGGCAAACAGGTCCAGAAATGCCATGTTATACCATTTAGGCAGCACCATAATGGTTATTTTATAACATATTTGATCCTTGCTGCCCTCATTCTTCTAATTAAAAGTTGAATTTGAGTATAATGTTGGTAGGTTTAAGTATTGTCCAGCCTTTCAAGTCAGAAGGTCTCTTGAAGAGGGTTTAGATATAAAACCAAACATGATTTCACCCAACAGCTTAAACTTTTGAACTACTTGGTTATCAACACAGCTGAAGTTTTTAGAAAAAGTTCACTTCCACGAACACTTCGAGTTAAAGAAACAAATACTCAAGCTCCAATGAGCAATGTACTTTCCTCTAACAGATTTTACATCTTATGGTTCCTTATCATGACCATGACCTACTTAGTTTTATAGAATAAATCGCATTAGATGAACAAGCAAGTGCACAGTAGATGATGAAATCACGAGCCTATATTAGACACATACAATGCAATTATGAAGACACCATAGCATTAACAAAGGATTAGGATAGATGGAGAAATTCTATTATGATGCAAAGCTCAAATGAATCAATCAAATTATGGCTGCAAATAAATGTGACATCAGATACAATCTACTTAAGAATCAACCTGCCACTTCACTGTCCAGTTAGAGCTAAAAAATCACACAAGCAAAGCAAAAAGAATGAAAATCTGCATGATAGAATTCCAGAATTACGAGTTAAGCTAAATTACCCGCTAAAGATTTCAGTTTCACTAAAAAAACTGAATACTTCAGAGGATTAATTTCGAAACTTGTCCATCATAAACACACTCCAATACTTTACAACCCCAAGAGGAAATTTTACCTATCCCATATAAATCTTCAAGCTACATTACCTATTGAAGATTTCAGTTTCACCGGATTTGATCCAAACTGGGTCATTCATTACTTTACCATAGTGGCAAAAAGAAGATTTTGACAACCTGGTTTGATTCCAGATACCAAAACACCAATTTTCCTCGCACGATGATTCGAATGCACACATTCCCACACCCCAAAACCAAAAAAGATTTGTTTTTTTAATACTTCAAATCAAAAAAGAGCAAACCCAACACCAATCATCGAATTCACAACAACCCCATTTCCCAGAAGAAGAAAAAAAAGTACAAGGGCACATTAAACTAAAATTAAAATCCAACGCAAATACCTGCAACAGTAACAGGAGAATCATCATCCTTTGACAGAACGTGATCATTGCTGGTGGCGAGGAGCCTCTCCTGCACCCTCCCGCAGAGAGCACACGCCACGTGGACCACCCTAACGGCCACCTCCAATTCCTTGGCGTACTTGTCCTCCTCCATGGCCCAAAACACACACGTGCTTGGGTTCGGAATCAGAGGATTCTCACGTGCCAAAAGGGGGAAGAGGAACCTCCTACATGAAGAAGGGGTTCGGTTTTGGAAGGGACAATGGCATCATTTCATTTCCCAAAGCGAAAAGTGAAAGTGAAACGAGGGGTTGGTCTTTCTCGGAGAAAAAGATGATGAAACGAAACACGACCAAAGTGTAGTGTCTGGGATTTGGCTTCTGAATTGCACTTGCACCCTCCATGATAAAATATTGCCCATATATCAATATATTCGTCTTTAATCCACTCTTACACCATAGGTGGTGGATGTCAATTTTTAGATAAATAATAATAATATTGAAGTTTAATTTCACACAATTCTTTCATTGGAGTTATTTTATATTAGAATAACTTGATAATCATTATATTTATTATAATTTAACAATTACACTACGAACATCAAATAATTGATTTTGTTATGTAAATTGATATATGTATAAGGTAAAAAGCTTTAAAAAATAATTGTTCCTATATTCATCTGCACAAAATATATAACTATATATAAATAATTTTACTTGTCAATTAAGTGATTATATAAGATTAAAGTGTATTAAAGTAGTGTCAATTAAAAGGGTCATCATCAAAAACATTCAAATAAACCTGCTAATTTTGTCATATTTTCATACTAAGTATAATTATTGTGATTCCAGCCACAAGAAACAGAAAGGTAAGTTTGTAGAAAGAATCAACAAAATCATCACAATAATAAATTTACAAATACATCATAGTTAACTTCATCAAAATATTAAGGACAATTTACATAACAACAACTTTATGTTTATGCACAACATCATTACATGACATTTCAACAATTTACAACATAACAATATCATTCGTAAACAAATCAACTTCAGCTCAGTCAATATACTCAACATCACAACAATAACAACTAAATGTATTATCACGCATATCAATTACAAAGATCTCCTGTAATAGAGGTGAACAATTTAAGTAAATAGACTCCACTGAATTATAATGTTTGACCTATCACAACTAACTTAAGTATAAACAACTTTAAGCAAAACCTGTTTAAAATGATTTCTCAAAGTTTCGGCACTTAAACTTGGAAATCTAATACTACTATCAAAGTATAATAACTTGACTATAAGTCTAACATGACATTAGCTTGCAACACTAAGTTTCTTATGAGAACCACATCTTGAAAAAAATCTTATATATCCATATTTCAAGCGACTCAACTAACTATAATTACAATTGACTCAGAGACAATGTAACTCTTACCTAACTACCTTAGAGGCCAACTTAACTCTTAAAATTTTCTTGACCATTGGAATTCTCAATAGCAACTAACAACTAACACAAATTACATAATTAAACATCACAAAATTAATAACACAAATTACATAATTAAACATCACAAAATTAATAGTGTTATATATATTGATTAATTTTTGTGCAAAATTATTAACCATTTTGTTTAAGATATTTGAATTCAATTTTGCTCAAAAAAATTATATGTTATTAGCTTTATCATTTTATCTTTATTTTTATATATATAATTATTTATTTTAATATATATTTTCTTATTTTATAAATAATTTATTTACAAAGAATGTAAATAGTTTTTAAATTGTTATTTAATTATAGATAATTGTATATAAATAATTTTGTTAATTTTTCAATGATAAACTTGAAAGTCATATTAATATTATTTTTATTTGGTTGACAAAGTATATTTTTTTATAACGACAATACATAAATTCTTTAAATTAAATTTTAATAACTTTCTTAAAAAAATTACTAATAAATAAAACTAACCCTATAATTTTTTTTACCATATGTCTTTATCGAAAGTAATTTTCTTCAAAAAGAAATAGGACTATGTTGTGTGATAAATTTTTTCTTTTAAATATTTAATAATTTGTAAGCTTAAATTGAATTTAAGACTACTAATTGAGCTAGATTAATTTTATATGATTAATAGTAAAATAATTCTATATCATAATTTAAATTTTTTATATAAATCCAAAATATATATTTTTACGGATTAATTCACTATATTGATGTGATACTGCCTCCCCTTTTTTTGTTAATATATAACTCTTGGTATTGTGAAAATAAAACAAGAATATCACAAGCAATATAACCAAAATAAAAAAATAATGAATGTAATTTGTCTTAAAAATACATAAATAAATTGTAAGCTTGATAAATTCTTGATTTTACACCCATAATTCACCTTCACACATTTAAAGAAAAATCACATCAAAATTTAGATTTTTCAATCTAACTAGTATTCACTTTGCAGTTAATATTGACAATTGACATCAAAAGATGTCAACAAAGATTGGTCCAATTAATATAAAGAAATGACTTATATCCTAAAAACGTGTAGAGTAGAGCCCCTGAGGATCACATTCATATGGGCAACTTGATCTTTGTTTCTATGTGACACGTCAGCATTTGACTTGTGTGAGATTATAATTCTCCTGATGCTACGAGATATAACCTTCTTAATCAATACTTTTATGTGTTTCAACTGATAATAATTATTAATTTGAATGTTAAGTACATCCAAAACCAAATCGTGTAAGTGACCTCAGAAACATCTACTTTTTTTATTTTTCCAAAAAATATAATAATTATTAAAGTTGTCATGGCCATGGTAATTTTTAAAATAAAAAAAATTGTCATGGTGACTATTCGTTGTTCAATTCAATTTGCCACAATTCCTAATGTCCTTGTTATAGCCGTCATGGAGTCAACATTATCCATCAATTATTGGACATCGTTTCTTAAATATTAAGATTTTGGGATTCTTCTACTTAATTAGATTCTCGAATTTAAATATTAAGTACGTAGCTAAGTTAAATATTCAAAAAGAAGATTTCATCATTTATAATAGTTTTATCCAATTTCAACATGGTTATTTTCAGATTTCAACCAAAAAAATACATAATTTGGTTTTATTATATAAAAAAAAAAGTTTAAAAACTGTATTTTCACTTATTTAAAAAAAAGTAACAAGTAAAAGATCGAATAATGTTATTTGTATAACAAATAGAGAGAGAGAAACAGAGAATTATGTAATGTGATACGTAATAATTAATAATATAGTAGAGAAAGAGAATTAAGAAAAAAGTGTAGTTATATGAATTATGGTATGAATTGTATAAATAACATAACTCTAAAATATTTTAGTTATAAATATAATTGGAATATATGTAAACTTTCATTTAATTAAGAAGTGTTAAGTATTTAATAGTCGTCGTTAATTTTTAAAATTTATATTTAAAATGAAATTTAATTAATTTATAGTGTAGACTTTTTTATACAATAGTATATCAAAATTCAAAATTTAACTTATTATTTATTCGATTATATGTTATAGAATTATTTTGAAGAAGAAAAAAAATAAAAAAGATTGTCAAATGCATCTAGGTTTGATTTTTTTTTTTCATCTTTTAAATGCGTGTTTGGTTTGGGAGTGAAGTCATGATAGATTATCATGAGCTGAGTTAAAATAAAATTGACTCAAAATTAAGATGTTTAGTTACTAAAATAAAATCACATTCACTTTCAAAATCAAATTTTTTTTACCGGTTATATTTCCAAGTCATAGACTAAAGATGAAACTTTTGCTTATTATTAGGGATATAAGCGGGTACGGATAACTCGCGAATCCGAATTGACTCAAAATCCAATGAGTTTGGATTGTATTTTTTTAGTGTTTGAGTCAGACCCAACCCAACCCGATCAAAATCTAACACTGTACATGTCGATTAATAAGTTTTGTGTGTTTCAACCTATTATCGATCCAATCCAACCTAATCATATATAATAATAATAATAATAATAATAATAATAATAATAATAATAATAATAATAACAACAACAACAATAATAATATTAATAATAATGTTTGAATGATCATTTGTTCAAGACAATATTCATTGTCACTTTTACTTAATAACAAGTTTTATGTTTTAGATTGATAGCATTCTAAAAATATAATATATTTATTTTAAATTTTATTTTGTATTAATTAATAGTTTTTTGAGTTGATAATAATGTAACAAAATAATAAATTTATTTTAGAATTTAATTTGTATCATTGTTTGCTTTATAAGTTGATAACATTAAATTTGCATCAATATATCAAATGATTTACATCTATTTTAAAATATTTTTATAAAAAATAAATAAATATAATTATGTTGACCCGATTAACCAAACTCAACCCAACCCATTTGTGATTGGGTTGAGTTTAGGTTGGATTGTATTGGGTTTTTAAAAAAATTACACAAATTTGATCCAACCCAACCCATTATATTTTGATTGGGTTGGGTAACGAGTATCCAAACTCAGCCCAACCTAACCCGCTTACACCCCTACTTATTAATTAATTAATTAATTATATATATATAAAGGATTCACTTATGTCAAGAGTAAGTCTACCTATACTTACTTTACTCAATAATTCATGTTCTACATCAAATTTTAAAGATCCAACCGATAAACTAAAAGTTTTTAATGTAAAGATCAAATATGCAAATTTCAAAGAATTTGAAAACTATTTGGTACTTGTTTCGTTAATTCAAATCAACGTATAAAATATTTTTATGATTAACATCAATTTGAATTAATGAAATGAAGTATCAAATAGTTTTCAAAGTTTTTAAAAATTTACAAACTTAACTTATACATTAAAAACTTTTAATTTAATCATTGAATTCTTAAAATTTGATATAGAACATGCATTATTGAATAGAGTACACTTAAGTAGACTTATTTTTAGATTAAATGAATTCCTTTTTATAATGGATTAGCTCAAACATAAGCTCAATAAGACCCTTACTTTAGACCACTTCCAAAAAAAAAATTATTTTGCACTAATATTTATATAACTTTTTTAAGTTCTATAATTCAAAAATTATTTTTTATATTCTTAAAAGTTGACTCTAAAATTTCCAACTCTAAAAAAGTATATAAATATAAGGCTTAAATATGTTTTTAGTCTCTCAAATTTAGGGTAAATTTGTTTTTGATCCCTCAAATTTAAAATTGATGTTTTTAGTCCCTGTAATTTCAAAAAATCTTATTTTAGTCCTTATATTCAAATTTTGTTAAAAAATTAATCAAATATTATTCCATAAAATCTACTTATTGGTATCCTTGTTAGTGAAAATATCACATTAAATTTAATTGATATTGCATAATCGTCTTAAT